GAAGAAAGCCATCTCGGAAATCTAGATATGCATAACTGTTTGGTTCGCACTGTAGGCAAGCGTATGCTTTATGATTACGGTATTGATTTTAAGCTGAGAATCTCGAGTTAACGACTCTTGTCGAATTCCAGCAAGAAGTATGAAACAGTCGAATACTTACCGGGCAGGAAGCCCACTGTAGCCCAACAGCGCCCATGCTGTTGATGATAGGCTCGGATAGAATCGCGGGCATGCCTACACATATACAATGTGTGTAAATTTGATATGATGCAAATGTGCGCTATTTTCCGAGATTAATAAGAGTCGATCTGAAACATGCTATGAACATATGATGTTGTAAAAGTAACTTTCGAGACTATGATAGCGACAAGTTGTTCACTATCATCAATCCCAGAATAGAAAACAAACATTCTTCACATTTGCAAATTCACACACAATGTATTTCGAGTAATACTCCGCAAGCCTAATACACTCACTCGTTTGGATGGTCCATGGTCCCTCCAGCTCTTCGCTGTCGATACAAGGAATGATGTTCGTCTCGACCGTGGATAAAACTTCCGACCAGGTTCGGCCGAGACGAGGCAATACTCCTTATGACTTATGATAAATTGCGGATTAAACTCATACCGTAATTCACCTAAATCTCCAGGACGTGCAATCGAGTCGTGCGCGGCCACGCTTCGATCGAGTTCCTTCCTGGGCTCAACGAAGGATCTAAGAATGGCTTACAGTAGCGTGGGAGAATATGTACATGGGCAACTACGCGTAGTGCGGGAATATATGTACATGGGCACCTACGCGTAGTGTGGGAATATATGTACATGGGCAACTACGCGTAGTGCGGGAATATATGTACATGGGCACCTACGCGTAGTGTGGGAATATATGTACATGGGCACCTACGCGTAGTGTGGGAATATATGTACATGGGCAACTACGCGTAGTGCGGGAATATATGTACATGGGCACCTACGCGTAGTGTGGGAATATATGTACATGGGCAACTACGCGTAGTGCGGGAACATGGTGTATTACGCGTATTGTAAAAAGCGAGTAAACTCTCGTTGAACGTTTTACACTTGAACGTGTGAATTTGCACCATAATTAGTGCGGAAATTCCTGAGCTCGGCTGAAGAAACCAAACAATGAGCCCATAGTATTCTGTAGTAAACACTAGTAATTCTAATACTACTAGTAATCATTGAAACTTCTCAAGAACGGACACTGCCACACCATTTCAGCAGAAACGGACAGGCCGGACCTTTGCGAACCTGCGCCTCACATGCCAGGCGGTAGCAGTGTGAACCGCAAAGTAGTCGGTGATTGCAAACGTACTTGCGTTCGTGCAATGCGACTCGCGTTGAGATTAATACGTCAGTCTCGGGTGCATCTCGTGTGCCCAAAACTAACATCGTTGGTCGAATCAGTAAGTTCTTGCAATTTTATTAAAATTTTCGGAATTAATTGAAACCAATCGGTAAAAAACTAAGCAAAAATGGGCATTTTTTCCAAAAAATGGGTAAGTTATCAAAAATTTGGGCGAAAAATCAAGTTGACATGCAGTCGTTTTTGTTATTAAAACGTTTACCTGTGTAAGAAGCCAACAGTCTCCTTGCCGTGCCTCCTGATCTCATCCGTGCTCACCAACCTACTACGCATTTCCCAAGTGGAAAGTCAAACAACTCGAAATGATCATGTCGAAATACGGGGACGAAACCCAATATCGCCGATATCAGTGATATTGGGATGGCGTATAACATCACGATAACGAGTAACATAACTGCGTTCATGGTGATTCATGAACGCGAGTACCATCACAAAGTAACGATGCGATCACTCTATCGTCCAATAGTTGTGTGCTGTGGTATCCGGCTGCCCAATCTGTCCCTACTAGCTATGGCTGGTAGGAGGTTGTACTGTTGCTGTTGGAGTAACGCTCTGTCTAGTGCTATAAGTCTGAGCCAACGGGATCTGTGGTGTCGAACAGCAGCCCAACAGGTGATGATCAAATGGTTATCAACTAATAGCATTTCACGTTAGCAAAATAGCACAGACAACCTGGAGTATCTAGGGATTGCATGGAAAGATCAGCAGAGAAGCAGTGTTGGAACGGGTTTGACTAGTATCATCATCCCGAACATTGAAATGATGAGACTAGTCAAACCCGTTCATAAGATTCAAGGAAATGGACTATTATCATCAATACCATAGTCATGTCCTTCATTATCATACATACCAACAAGAAGAGGAGAAAACTAGTCGGGATTACTGGGCTTTAACATCGCACTAAGTAAGAACAGTGCGAGCCTGGTCAGTCCATGAGGACGTGCATGAAACTCTATATTGGAATATGCTGGTGCATCATCATTATCGCTGTCCCAATCCCTCGTAGCTCTCGAGTGAAGGAACACCCTAGCTAAGCTTATGATGATGATAGTCTACATCGATTGAGTGAACATCGTAAAGGCATTATTATACTAAATAAATTGATATCGTATTTGAAAAATATTACTAGTAATATGATATTTTGATAATGTATTATAAAATGCTGACAATAAGGGGTATACGATAACCCAGCAATAGGGTATTATCATATGATTCCCTGCAATTATATCCAGTTTGATGTTATCACAATGGGCAAAGCAGTAACACTATTCTGTTTGAGAATATTCCCTATCTATTCCTGACATTTTTCAGTATGCCATCATTTCCTGACTATTCGGATGACGCCACACTACCGTTTGGCGTCGGAGATCCACTCATCATGCAAGTCACATGGATGACTGCTGAGTGACATTTTCATTCTGAAATTTGATTCTTAGGCAAGTCGTAAAAACTAGAGTTTCTCGTCAAATATTCGGGTTCTTGGACTCAAACCTCCATAAGATCTACATGAACTGATATCTTTCGAGTGGAAAACTAAATCATACACGTTTGAAGCGACGTCGGAAAGACTCGAGTAAGAAGCAGCGTGAGTACGGGTACGTGAAGATGCATCCACTTGCTCTATGCCGTGGCTTCGCACATCTGAGGCAGTCTTGCCGATGCTCTGCCAGTACTCCATGTTCACACCCTTGTCCACGAGGAAACACCAGTTTAGGATGATTCTCACCATTAGAGTTATGAGGATGAGAGTCCCATCACCATAAGTTTAATGGTGTTTCACGCTCATCGTTGTCGCCACTAGAGGTTCACAAGGCTGAGCCGGCCATAGGGAGGTAGAAGATTAGTACTACTAATTTAGTAGTACTAATTTAGTGCAGAATACAAACCTGCATCAGTAGTGAGATTACGATATACTCTTGATGAAGAATCTTCATCAAGAGTATATCGTAATCTCATTGAAGATACTTAGCAGCACTAGTGAGTCTTGCCATGGGATTGTTATAAAGATACACGAAACAGTGGAGACAGTGTAAGAAATGGTGTATCCAACGGAGCGGTGTTTATTATCATCATTATCATTTACACGCCGTCGGCCCAAGAATCGGTACGAGTACGCGTTTTCCGCTTGAGGGTGAGAGTGTACCGCATCCCACACAATTCAGCTTCGGCTAAGTTTGGCGAAATCTGAGTCTTTTCAACTCAGTCTCAACGACCATCACCGCCATTTGAGAGATATCGATCACGCGGGCGCGCGCTAATATGAAACCTTCTATTCCCAGATTGGTGTCAACGGTTATTTTTCATATGGCTTCGAATATCTTTCGTAAATTCCAAGAAGTCGTGAAAAACGGCACTCCACTTCAATACGTGGGTGGTGGTATCAATAGTAGCAGCAGTAGTAATTCTAATACGAGAAGAACTAGGACCGGTCAGCAAAGTGCCGAGAGTAGCCTTTCCTTTATTGGTAACTACCTTGCTGGGTGGAAGACTATCGAGGTGATGTCGTGTTGGAGGCTCCCTCAGCTGAGCTTAGGAGTTCATATACGAAGTCTGGTAGAAGTGTGCAGAGAATTTGCTAAAATTTTCCTCTCAGAATTTTTATATTGTCACCAACACACGTAGTTAACCATGTGCATATATTCCTACACTGATGAACTGATTTCCGAAATTCAAAAAATTTGAAATTTTCTGCACTGTGCATAGGAAACGAAATTTCCAATGTATTTACAATTACGAAAATTCAATTTTCAAAATTTCGAATTTCTCATGTACATTTCGACGCGAGTCATCCTAGTATATGTACATGTTTATTTGAGAGTCACCCGTTTTACGTGGAGTGGCGTAAAACATCGTGAAAAACGCGATATTCGCGGTGATATGCAGTAGTCGTGAAATAAGTTTCTCACTAGTGTGAAACTTCATTATATGCATAAATTCCAACCTGGCATATTTCACTGTAGATACTCCTGAACGGTTCATCTCGTCGGAATGCGACAGTTCTCATGGACCACGTTGAAAATCAGAGGAAAACCGTGGGCATGAACCCTCTGGGTTTGATACGCCTTCAGAGCTGGGATGATTTCTTTGGTAGTACTTTACTGTCCTTTATATGTAATGAAGTTGCACCCTAGTGATATGAAAAACACTAGTGAAAAACATATGACCGCGAATATCGCGTTTTTCACGAAGTATCACGCCGCTTCACGTAAAACAGATTGTGAAACTCCAATATAGTATTCAATATAGATTGCTATTGTACGGAGTTGAAATCTCACGAATGGCGTTTTGATAACTCAGTCTCCGCTCGTCACGATGGTTCGACTCGAAATTAACACGTGTTGAAAGTCCACGTTTAAAATGAGGTTTCGGCCAGTTGTATTTGATGTTGGAATATATGTTCGCTTTTCTCACTTATTATAGGAGTTTATATATGAAGTAGGAAAGGGCAAGTACAGAAACCAATAAGAATTTCCCGAAATTTCCTCAAAAATTTCATATCGTCGGTAGTTGTTCATATGCATATTTTCCCACACTGGTTGTATTGGTGATGGATTCGTTGGACTTTCAAAACCCGTTTTACGTGAAGTGGCGTAAAACTTGGTGA